GGTTCTTCTCAATTTTGATCTATGTTAAATGGATCAAGGCTCTGTTATTGCTTTCACTTTCTCTCTACAGTTATGATGAACACAGAAATGAAAAGTAAATCTAGGCAAGTACTGATTGGGCGACAAAGAAAGTTTATTGATATGTTTATCATTATGTACTTACATTTTTAGAAATGGAGAAATTTTAAACTCACCAACACTTCCCAATAGCAGATGTATGGTGTTGTTGTTGTAGTTGATGATTGCTATTAAAGGAGTTTAACAGGCAATGATAGAACTTGCATAGATTTAGCTTTGGAAAATGATCTTAAATATAATTTAATAATTATCCATATGTAGATATATTGAAATGATGGTGGTATTGATATACGGTTACGTAATTGTGATGATGGAACAGCTACTTCTTTAACTTTTAATACATGTTGAACTGGTTCAAACTTCATACATCCCACAGGCAAAACAGGTCTTAATTCTCTATGGGATACACTTTAATTTATGGATATTTTGGTTTAAAGATGATAAAATTCATACTAAGAATTACAGTCTGGTTCGAAAATATAATTTAATGTGTCTTCCAAGCCAGATATTCAAAATCTTCAAATCTGCAACATCGGTGTGATGGCTTATACGGACAATTTCATAGGCAATGCTTTATGCGACAATGATGGATTTAATAGTTTATGAATTTAAATCATTGGTTTCATAGCGTTGGGAACCTCTGGACGGATAATTAGGTGTGGTGTTGTAATTTGCATATGCAGTCCAAGGTTTTTGTGCAGATCGAGGATGGTGTGTACTGATTTTGCCACGTGTATGCAGGATTTTAGGTTATCCTTAAAAAAAATCTCAGGTCGCCACTCCCCTGTGGGCAACAACGACCTGAGTGGAATAGTGACGCTGGATGATAGGTTTTTTATGCACAAGTTGCGTTTCAATATTTTTGGTTAGGATTATGCAAGAAACACGAGATTAATTGTTTCTAAGCGTAACTTGGACAGCCTAGGAGAAAAAAATTGACTGCTAAAATTTTGCACAAATTTTTATTACCTGCAATGCACTGACTAAAATGACAAAAATTATGGTGATTGTTTTGAAAACAAAAAAAAAAATCCAAGTCAAAAACAGGAACACTCGAATTTTGTATTAACCAAAAGAAAGTTTAAGTCACTTTGACTTAGTAGTTGGCATACCGTTCAATAATGATGTTTCGCTGATCGTGTTTAATGATCATTATTACATCATTGCCTATTCTGTTTGTTTACCTTATGAAATGTAATATACATTCAAGTACAAAAGTATGCGCCGGTTTAAAGCTTTTAATAGTGTTATTATTTTTGTATGTTTATGAAAAATAATCATACTTTTTTTTATATTTACAAGAGCGTCATTACAACCTATCCTCCATAACTCTTTTCGACTGCATGTTGACCGGCGCGGAGATTGTTGTGCCTTGCGCCCGAAGTGTACATCCTGGATCTAACTCCACCACCCCTGCAATGACAGCTCCAATATTTTCTGCGTGTGTGGTTTGCACTGGAGATGCGCGGAGGTTATCCCAAATATTTTGAACATACACTTATTATCCTTGAAGCTTTCGCCTTCAACAATTTACATATTCTCCGCAACCTTGTTTCTGCTTTACTCGGCAACTTCAAATTCAGCGGAATATGCTATGCCATCTTAACTATTTCTTCTTGCAGCGGAAACGGAGTAAGCAGCGACGGATTTAACTTTCCATTATTGATGTCTATCAGCAACGACAGCATACTCACTTGAATTTTCTCGTTGTCTTCCACAATTATCTGAACCTCTTTAGTCACCATAAAGAACTTAATGGATTCCCGATACACGAAGTACGACTCCTTCATTATCTCGGTTATGTTGAGAATTCTGTCTTCGATATTTTTGCATTTCGTGTTGACCTCTTCTGTAGTTCGTCGCAGGATGTTCACCGTAGATTCTACAACCGACGCCTGTTGCTTAACCAGATACTTCAGGTTGTATTGATTATAGCCTTCGGTCATCGGCGTCCGTGGTTCCAAACAGCACATGTTGTAACGAGCCGATAAATTCCAATGGTGCTCTTTTGGATCGTCTTACGTTTATGGGAATAATATACTTATTCGTCCATGGAGGTTAATTGACGGTCCTTCTCAATCACGTCAAATAACGTCTTCATGTCAAAATAGGCTATCAGATTCTATGTCGAGGTCACCACGTCCACTGATCCCACATGATCTAAATACACTACTGTGGAATTCTTCATTTCCCCGATTTTGGCACCAATTGGATCCGCCTACCATCATCAACACCAACACGTACCCAATATTGACTTTAGGTACGAAGTTCATCCAAGTGTAGTTCACAGACACTCTATCTTGATAATTGGTCTTTTCACTTTTAACGGTTGCGGTTCGTACTAATCTCTTCCCGGATGTGTCTTGCGTATTCTTCCCAACGGCCAACGAGCTGGATGCGTATCTTCAGTAAGCTGGATGCCTTAAAGTAAATCCGGCCAAAACGGACGTCAAAAATATGACAGTTTGAATAACACACTTTTCGGAACAAATTGATAACCATACCAAATATCTGGGGATAATGTTAGACAGAAAACTGAAATGGAACCAGTAAGGAAAGCAGTAAAGTCGGGCTGGGCCGACTATATGATACCCTTCACCACTTTGGATATATTGTACATATGTATCCCCTCCAAGGAACATACGCAAGTCTTTCTGCAACATATGATAAATTTAATTTCATTCGGGCAGATTTAAAGTCGACTTCGTACCATGGGACAAATTTATTAAAAACGACTTATAGCAAAATTAATACACGCTATTCGGTCGCCGCACTGTTAAAATTTTAATTTCATTCAGACATCCATTCGAAATACATATGGAAGCTATGATAGCATCTACATCAGTTTCAACGAAACGCAATAACGTTATTTAAGTCTCAACTTGATACGTTGTGCCAAAAAGCGTGTTAATCGGACAAAAATTAGAAGGTTGGTGTACCATTTATGTCTATATCGAAACAAGAACCGATTTTTCCGAAACTTTGCACACATCATTCTAGACTTAATTCAGCACACTGTGCCAAATTGCATGCAAATCGAAAGGTATATAGGAACTTTGGTGCACCATTTACATAGAATCGGAAAAAAAACTATAAATGGGAGCTATATCTAAATCTGAACCGATTTTCTCGAAACTCGGCACACATCAGTCTGGACCTAATTCAGTACTCTATGCCAAATTTCTTGTAAATCGAATGATATATAGGGACTTTGGTGCACCATTTACCTTAAATCGGACGAAACTATATATGGGAGCTATATCTAAATCTGAACCATTTATGTCTATATCGAAACAAGAACCGATTTTTCCGAAACTTTGCACACATCATTCTAGACTTAATTCAGCACACTGTGCCAAATTTCATGCAAATCGAAAGGTATATAGGAACTTTGGTGCACCATTTACATTGAATCGGAAAAAACTATAAATGGGAGCTATATCTAAATCTGAACCGATTTTATCGAAACTTGGCACACTTCATTCTGGACCTAATTCAGTACTCTATGCCAAATTTTTTGTAAATCGAATGATATATAGGGACTTTGGTGCACCATTTACCTTAAATCGGACGAAACTATATATGGGAGCTATATCTAAATCTGAACCGATTTTCTGGAAACTTGGCACACATCATTCTGCACCTAATTCAGTACTCTGTGCCAAATTTCATGCAATTCGAAGGTTATAGAGGGACTTTGGTGCCCCATTTACCTTAAATCGGACGAACATATATATGGGACCTATATCTAAATCTGAACCGATTTTTCCCAATTCCAATAGGGTTCGTCCATGGGCCAAATAAGTGACTTGTGCCAAATTTCATTCAAATCGGATCATAAATGCGACCTGTACTTTGTTTACAATTTAACATCTACAGACGGACGGACTGGCGGACATGCATATATCGACTCAGAAAGTGATTCTATGCATATTCTCAAAAGGAACCATGTGTCTATTTCGTTTCCTTTTGCCTGTTACAAACATATGCACAAAGACATAATACCACTTTTATATGCTATTTCGGGAAGTTTTTCAGCCGAAATTTTTACTATCGCTAGATATAACGTTAAGCCCAAATTTTGGTATTTTGAAGAATTCAGATTAGTCTACCATAACTTAATGGTAGACTTCACCACAGTGTGGTGAAGGGTATAAAAACAGGACCGGGTGGATAAAGCTCACAGATGCTGGTCCTTCTGCAGAAGAGCTATGGGCTCTAAATGCTCTTTTAATCCAAAAATGATGCACTGGATCCATAAGAGCAATTCTAATATACGCCTCGGTGGTCTGATGGACAGGAATGGTCAAAAGTGTAAAATAAAATTGTTACAGAAAGTCCAGAGAACATGCTGCCTAGATATATGCGAGGCAATGAAGACAACACCGAAAAAGCTCTGAAGACTATATTATAAAACATTGACAAACAAATAAGATATGAAGCTGCCGTCGCAGCTTTAAGGCTTAAAATTACGTACGCGTGGATGGACACCGGACACAATAGACTGCATCAAATTATGTCACAGACCCTCATATGACGCTACGCTCAAAAAACCTTATATCTACGAACACTAACGAACATTTGGCTTCAATGACACCTTGTAAATGTACCTTTTAAGATATGAACTCAAAATTGTATTCAAACACTATACTATGCTTAAGTAACCTTATAGACATAAGTCTTGTCATTTGTTTCTGACATCCCAATTTTCCCATTCTTGATATACATTTCAATTCACTTCCATTTAAATATTTTATAAAAACACAGCCTTGAAATTTCTGCATTCCCATCGTTTCCATGCTTCCATTACGAACACATCAATTAAATGCAATTTATTGATTTTATCGTAGTCAGTCAGTCCTGCAGTCTTACAACCTTGTTCTAATTCTTTATTTTCTTTCATTTTCCCTTTTCTTTTGCAGGTTTCCTGGTTTAGGGAAGAAATGAAATTCTTTGAATACGTGAGTGGACGCAAGCCGCCGTTTAAAAATTTCACCTTGGAAGGAGCAACGATTGATGTAAGTATCAATGGAATTCATCGTAGTCGTCGTTACTGTCGTTCAACAGCGATAGCTATGCCATTTTGTCCACATTGCCATTGCAATTATTGTGAAAGCAAAAAAAAAAGAATAATAATAAAAATGGATCGAAAACAAAAAGGAAAATTACGAATAAATATGAATAAATTAATAACAGTAATTACTTAATTGTTGACTTTTCTCTGTCCTCTTTCTCATCCATTATTCTTCTGTTTTTTCCCCGATTTTGGTGCATTTACATTTGGAAACGGAAATAAAGCGTGAAAATTCAAATGCTTCCCAAGTGACGCTGGCCAATGTCGATTTCAAATTGTCCGGGCAATTTCATTGTGAAGTATCGATGACATCACCGCTGTATACCAAAGCATCTGGCGAGCATTTAATGAGTGTTTTTTGTAAGTATTTACTTTGTGTACTTTTAATGTTATTAAATACAGATTACAGTGGACATTATTTATGGTATACTTTTTAAATGCTTTTTGTATACAAAATTATCCAAGTGATCTAATATTAGTTGCGAAACATGTTCCACTGTACAATTAAATAACAATTATTATTATTACAATTGTTCATTAAATAAACGCTAAATGTCCAATACCAAAATATTTGTTTGTTATTATTTGGCAATCGCATTAATTGTATTAATCTTCTATATTATTTTAGTACCCCAAACTGGTAATCCGGTAATTAGGTTTCGCAAACGTAGCCCAGTGGCTGTTGGTGAACGTCTAATGGTCCTTTGCAATACAACACGAGCTCGTCCACCACCACACATTACGTGGCTCATTAATAATCAAAAGGTAAGATTTTGACATTTATTTAATGGAGGTTAATCCAAAATAAATATCTAATAGTAATATTTTTGAAAGCATTATATCGAATCTCTATATATAATGAAATCTCAGAGTAGGATAATCTGTACCCAGTCCAAAACTAAAGAAACTAATATTGCTAGGTGCCGCATAACTTCTTCTGTTTTAAATCAGGTATTTTATTCACATTATAAAAAACAAAAACGCAAAAATTATAATGAAATAAATAATAATTTATGGACAAAACTAAAGCAACTCCACAGTACAAACATATTATCTCTACAATTTTAGTTATTTTTACAGTAATAATTACTATGTTTTGGTTTATATACTTACTAGCAAAAAATATTTCATATGGTATCGTAAATACCGTAAATTTGTGGTACTATAGTTTGCGATTTAGTACTCTTCATACAGATAAGCACTATTTTCCGAAATCTCTCTTACTTCCATTAAACAGATTAAAACCAGTAAGGAAAGTAGTAAAATTTCGTGCAAGTCGAAAGATATATAGGGACTTTGGTACACCATTTACATTAAATTGGACGAAGTTATATATGGGAGCTATATCTTAATCGGAACCGATTTTCACGATGTTTAACACACATCGTTTTAGACGTAATTCAGCCCGCTGTGTCTAATTTCGTGAAAATCGAAGGATATATAGGGAGTTTGGTGCACTATTTACCTAAAATCGGACTAAAATATATATGGGAACTATATCTAAATTTGAACAGATTTTTCCCAATTTCAATAGAATTCCAGCTCTGTCTGTTCATCAAAAACCAAATTGTACCAGATTTGGTACCATTCTGTACTTTTCGTACCCATATTCTAAACTTTGTCAAATCTACACTCCCACAGTAACCTAAGTTCACCAATGTCCAATTTGTAACAAATTTTGTGCTTTTCGTACCCATAAGTACGAATTTCCAAAACTACCCCAGTAATGTTCTTCAATAATAACCTTTAGTCCACATTTAAGGATTCCCGCTCTATCCGTTCACTACACTCCAACAGTAATTTTAATCATATATTTCAGGAGCCCAGCCCTATCCGTTCACATAAATCCAAATTGTAGCATATTTAGTACCATTTAGTACTTTTCGTACTTTAAGTTTGAATTTTCAACACTGTCTCAATCCTGTACTCTAACAGTAATTTTATTTTCAAATATATGTTTTTTTATATCAATCTAAATAAACTTAGTACCATTTAGTACACATAATCATGCATTTTCAAAACCCTTTCTCACCCTTAATTTTGATTCCAAATTTTAGGGTTCCCGCTCACTCAAAACGAATTGTACCCTATTTAGTACCATTTAGTGTTTCTCGTATCCAAGAGTACGAAATTGCAATACTACCTTAATTCTGTGATTTGCATTCTAAATTTAAGACAAATTTTCAAAATTTAGTATTATTTAGTACACGAAATGACAAATTTTCAAAACTACCGACATATTTCAATCCTGCACTCCAACAGTAATATTAATTTAATCAAAATTTCAGGATCTCAATCCTATCCATTAGTACCATTTAGTACTTTTTGTTTCTGTAATTAAACTACGTCAATCCTACACTTCAAAAATAATTTTAATTCCAAAATTCTGGAGTCCAACTCTATCCACTTAATCAAGTTGTACCAAATATAGTACCATTTAGTACACATACGTACTATGCTTCCATACCTTAATTCTATATTCTAAAAGCAACCATTATTCCAAATTTTAGGTTTCCAGCTCTCTCCGTTCACCCAAATCCAAATTGTACCATATCTAGTGCCGTTTAGTACATTTCGTACACACAAATACGAATTTCCACAGATGTCTCTATAGCTCAATCTTCAACAGTAATCAGAATTCCAAATGTCAATATATGTAGAATTAGAACTAAATTTAGTACTTTTAGTACACTTATAGGTCGAATTTCCAAAAACCCTTTTGTACATCTTTCTAACTTTCCATCAGTGACCCACATTCCAAATTTCAGAATACGCGCTCTTCCCGTTCGCCTAATACAAAGGGTACCATATTTGGTACATTTTAGTACTTTTCGTACCCTTCTAGTACGAATCTCCAAAAACGCAGCCTTATCTCACGCCTACACATCAACAACAACTCCCACTCAAAATTTCAAGCTTCTAGCTTTAGCCGTTTCGTCTGGGCGATGATCTGTCAGTCACTCACTCACTTAACACTAAGCTCTTTTATATATATAGATTCTTCTTATATATAATTTCTTATATTTCATTTTGAAATGGATTGTATTACAATAATATGTGTCTGGTTTTCAATTATGACTTACTGCGAAAAAACAAGTGAAAAATCGATGGATACCCTCCACCATAGATATACTGACATATACTTGAAATTAATATATGGGGAACATATCAAAAAGTGGACCTATACCGATATTTTTACAAACCTATTATGTAAACCATAATACACATTTTAGATTTTTTTTAATGGAAAATTATACCCTCATCCTTATTGTTAATGAGGGTGTATAGACTTTGACACGGTGAAAATGTGCCTCATTGAAATATTGGACCTTTCTTTGGACCAAATCCGTTTCAAAAAATTTTGATTTCATCCAAACTTTGCCTATCTTATGATTTCTTTTAAACTTAGTTCAAATCCAAATCCTTCTGGTACCTCCCAGCCAGGTGTTACGGCTAGGCCTAAATGCGGGCTATAGTTCATTATCGAACCTTACGTTCTAATTATTTTTTATCTCACAGGTGAAATTATTACAATATAGTCTTAGAACCAAACCCAAAACGAAGAACAAATCCGATAAATATATTGATATAAAAAGGGGATGTTATATGGGGACTACCCCAAGAAGGGGATAATATTAACAATTTTTGGTAGAGGGATTTGAATACGGTTGAAAAACGCTCTCAAGAACCCAAAAATACCGAACATTTGGGGTACCATTATATGGGGGCTAACCGAAAATGGCCCTATATCTATAATTATTGTGGAGCGATTTGGTACCTATTAAGAACTCAAAATACTAAACTATAGACAATTAGGTAGAAAAATACGATCAAAACCACCAAAATACTGAAAATTATGAGGTTCCGTTACAGCTCCCATATAGTGGACCTATATTTATAATCTTTGTAGACCTATATTTATAATTTTTGTGGAGACATTTACTATCCAATAATAACCCAATGTACCCAATTACAAGGAATTGGGTAGAAAGGCGAGCTCAAAAACCTCAAAATACCGAAAATTGTGGGGTACCCTTATATGGGAGGTATGCCTAAACGTGGACCGATACATCCCATCATCGACAAAAAAACTATTAGACTTTTCAGCGCCCTATCTCAATTCCTTCAGAAGATATCGTGACGGACAGACAGACAAAGGGACGGACATGACTAGATCATCTTAGAATTCTACCCTGGTCAAGAATATATATGCTTTATAGGGTCGAAAATAGTTACAAAAAAATGACAAAATTAATATACCCTCCATACTATGGTGGAGGATATAAAATATTAATAATTTTTGGTAGGGAGATTTGTTACCATATATGACTACAAAATACCGAAAATTGGAGAGATTTCTCATATGGGGCAACCCGAATAAATGGACCTTTATTTATAATTTTTAGTGGAGAACTTCCCTACCCAATAAGAATTCAAAGTACTAAATTACAGGCAATTCAGTCGAAAAATAAGGGCATGCTATCAAGAATTCTATACTGGGCTTGGAAACAGTAGACCCTGGCATTTGAGCAGCAGTTGTCAAATTTTATATTATAGCTTTTTTTTACTGTTGTTTGTTTAATGTATATTAAGTTAGTTTATGGTATTTATCGATCCAATTCTAATTTATATTTGTTGTATAATTACTAATTGCCTGCTGATGATTTATCTGTAGCCGGCATTGTTAAACCACTACTAACCCGCCTTAGTCCGGACTTTGGCGTGTACGTGCTCCCTGCGTATAGGGAGGTTGCCCCCTCGATCGGCAAGAACCCCAAAATGTCGAAAATGGGGGGGGGTACCCTTTTATGTGAGCTATGCCTAAACGTGGATCGATATAGGCCACCTTCGAACTTGACCTGCCTGCAGACAAAAGATGCTATGGTGGTACAAATATACCCGGTTATTGATGGTTTGGTTAAGTAAGTTCACATATAGACACAGATCACATATTTAACTTAGTCGAATTATTGGCATGCAATTCTACTAAGTCCTTCAAAAATGCGAGGTTTGTAAGGATAAATCTCTTGAATATAGCCAAAGTGGTAAAAGGTATCGTATAGTCGGCCCGTCTCACTTTTCTACTTTTCTTACTGGTTCGCTGTAACTTATTATTTGGTAAGGTAGTTAATCTTCTTAGTGCAAACTAATAATATTTGTCCACCTTTTAGTAATACCCCCATTTAACGCTATACCTATATGTTGGATTATCATTAAATTGGAAATGTCCCTACATTGACCTAAGTTTCCGTGTAGCCCTCATATAATAGTACCCTCCATTATTCGGCATTGTGGGGGGGCTTTGGATACGTTCTTTAACCCTATTGTGTGACATTTGATTTTTCACGTTTTCACGGGGTGCCGAACATTTTCTACAAAATATAATCAATATTGGTTCACTTTTTACATCCCAAATTTCGGCATTTTGCTTCAACAAAATTTCGACATTTTGCTTCAAATTCTCATTTAGTAGAAAATCTCCCTATCACAAAATTCATAGTAATGAGCAATGTTTCCGCGTATCCGCCATATAATGATACACCCATTATTCGGTATTTTGGAGGGTTTGGGCATGTTTTGCAATCGAATTAGACCACTTTGGTATATTCTACATATATATCCTAACAGACGCCGCGTGATTGTTATATATCTATATCTGAACCGATTTCAGGGAAACGTGCCAAAGACTAATTTATATTACTTCAGTACGTTGTGTCAATCTGCCTAGCTTAGCAGCATCATTCTAGACTTAATTCAGTACTCTA